GTAGCAGTAGCAGTAGCAGAAGCACTAGAACTAGAACTGGAAGGAGCACGCGCAGGCGCAGGCGCCGACGCAGCAGCAGTAGCAGCAGCGGCGGTAGCAGTAGCAGTAGCAGGAGCAGGGGCAGGGGCAGGGGCAGGGGCAGTGGCAGTGACAGTAGCAGTAGCAGTAGCAGCAATAGTTGTAGTATTAGTAGTAGAAGAAGCAATAATCATACTACTAAGTATTCAGATAAGGAAGAATAGCAGCAGCAGCCGTCGCCGTGTTGGCAGTAGCAGTAGCAGTAGTTGTCGCAATGACAGGAGAAGCTGTAGTTGCAGGATTTGCAGGTGTACTTGTTGTCACTGAATACGGGCTGTTGTGGTTGCAGTTGCAGCTGTAGCTGTAGCTGTGACTGTAACTTTGTTGCAGTTGAAGCTACATTTGTAGGTGAAAATGTTGTTGTCGCAATTGTTGCTGTTGTTGCTGTCGCTGTCGTCGTTAGGGGCCCTGCTGCTCCTGCTGCGGCCTGCTGCTGCTGCTGCTTCTGGTGCTGGTTTTAGTGCTGGGGCTGGGGCTGAGGCGCTTGGGCTGCTGTGGTGTTGTCATAAAGGTTGTAGTAGAGAAAGTTGCAGTAATGGCAGCAGTGACAACAATGATAACCACAGGAAGAATGAGACGGCAACCAACGATTCATGTTCAGTCCAGAAGGCCGGAAGAAGGATGTTGGCGATGGCAAAGACGATCTTGAGCAGCACGAGGCCGAACTCGGCAGCGCTGTGCAATCGTGTGAAGGGATGCTTGTGAGCACAGACATTGGCACATCTTTGCCTGCGAGCAGGTACAGAGATCCAGAAACCGGGCGTGGAGCACAAGTCCAGCCTGAGGCCCCAGCCACGGAGCAAAGCCAACTCAGCCCACTGCTCTGTGGACGCCTTACAGAGCACTTATTGTGTGCGTCGCCACGGAAGTGGTAGGGCAGTAGTAATGATGGCTGCACGAGAATAGGCTGCAGTAGGAAAGCAACAGGCGTGCACGAGTTGCCTTATGGAACCCAAAAGGTGAGAGCTGGAACAGCCAGAAGTTGGTATTTAGTAAAGCTTCAGCCACAGCTTTCCGATCTATGCAGCATACTATTGGCACGTCACGAAGAAAGGTCTTGGACGTCAGGGCGAGGGCTCAGATAGCCACGGCTGCGGTCGTGGCATGGGGCCGGAAGTGGCATGGCACAAGCGGCGGAGCAATACTACTGCCTGACAAGGCAAGAAAATCATGCCGCATCAAGGCATGGCTAGCAGAACCAAGCTCCCAAAAACCCCCGAACCCAGGCTTTCTCTGTTCGTGTCGTTTTGGAAGTTTCGCAGCAAGCTCGGCTCGACATCATCCAGGTGACGTCCGCTGCCTCGACTGGCTGCCCGCCTGTCAGGGACCAAGACGAAACCTGCATTTTCAAGCGAGGTATCGAAATCAATATTGATTCCTCGTTATGAACACGTAACGTAGCATGCTTTCCTTGCAAAGGTGGCTAAAGTTCCGCACGAAGCACACAGTAAAGTCACCGAATTGCTACTCGTAGCATCCAGCGGGCTGGGTGCATGCCCAGTCCTCGATGAAATTACCAAGAATGAGGTGCCGAGACCCAGGCCCAGCTACGTATTCAGGAGTTGAAGCAAGGAGAATGAGATGGGCCCCATATAATGCCTTGATTTCAAGGAGCGCAGCACTGTAAAGGAGACAAGAACCCTTCGTTCTATCTTCCTAGCATACTGCGAGGTCGAGTTCAGAAACTGCAGGCGGGCATAAACCCTGTTCTCCCTGCCCAGAACAAAAGCTAAAGCCTCTAACTGCAGCTTCAGGAAGTCTGTCGCAAGCAAACTCAAGATCGAAACAAACTCCAAGCCCAACAAATCACTTTACGATACACTCTCGCTTGTGATCGCCCGAAGCCCTATAGGTCTGAGGCCGTACTGTCATAGTAGGCATACAGATATTCCAATAATCTTATCCGTCAGAACAAGACCCAAATCGGCTTTCTGCCTCATTGACATGGCTGCTGGCCGGAGTGGCGGGGACCGTTTCCGCCATGAAAGTGTCTTAAGGTTTAGGGGTTTTGTGTTCAGCATTGAGAGTTTAGAACTTTCGGGGTTTAGGGGTTTATATAAGAGTAAGGGGTTAAGGGTTGAGGGTTGAGGGTCTTTTTGCCCAGGCTTTAGGGGCGTAGGGGTTTAGTGTTCCGTTGAACTCGTTTGCTTAGGGTTTGGCGTTCAGGGGCCTGGGCTTAGAAGCTTGAGGGGGTAATGGGCTAGGATGCAGCGCCTGAGCATGCTAGGCTCAGCGTTGCAGGGTATCTGAGGGTGTGAAGCTTAGGGCTTGGGGCTTCCAGCTTCCAAGGTCGAGATTATGGTGTTTAGTCTTCAAGTCTTGGCGGCTCGGGATTAGGGTACGAAGCTTCGCGTAGTTCAAGCTGCAAAACGCCACGGTTGCTAAGCTCCTATATCAGCAGCCCAACAAGTTAGAAGGACGCTTCAGAGCCTTCGCACCTATAAGTAACAGTTGGTTGCGGAGCAACAGTTAGAGCCACCGCTTGGATTGTTGCGTTGCGTGGCACCTGGTAACAGATACTCTCTGCTTTGCAACCTCTCAACATGTACATGGATTCAGTTCGCAAAGAAGCGCATGCAAACCCCTCTCTCTACAGAGCCCAGAACCCAACAAGGATTGCTCCTGGGCTTAGGTAGCTTGTGCCGCTGTCTTTTGTTTCGAAGGCACGACCCTCCTCTCAAGCCAGAACAGAGGGGCCCTTCTGTCAAGAAGAGATATCGACCTGGGAAGATTAGCCCGGCGCCAAAATACCTTGTCAACCCTACACCTGCAGCGCACTACCAGGGCGTTTCGACTGCCTGTAAAGTGCTGGTGTCGTCGGATGATTGGCATGTGTTTGCCCAAGCCTGAATTTGAGGGGGCCACTCCGATACCAAGATCTCACAAGGTCCGACAGCTACTGTACCCTAGGTGTACCTATGATAATAATTACAAGTTCCAGTCATTTCTAGCCCGAAACCAGCATCTGCAAAGACTCCTTCGGCAGGCTGCTGCAAGAGACATGTCGGGCCTCCTGAACCTCTTCGAGGGCGGCTTTCACCTGTGATTGTCACAACAAGCTGAAGGGTGGGGGTGTAAAGCCGCAGGCCCTGCTAGTGACCAGGAAACTTTCGCGATCGCCGCAACTCAGGAGGCTTCGTACGAGGGCCACGAGGGGTTGAAATAATGGGAATAGGGCGGCTGTTTTGAGCCACGATTCTTACTTTGTGTTCACGTTGTGTCTCAGTATTTACAACAATTCCGCCAAATTCTCTGTTGTATGAGTTCAGGCCTCATTTTTGTATGTTTCCCTGGACATTTGCACATGTTGTAAGATGACTTTGGCTTTCGGTCTTGAAGTGCCCGATTTGTTGTTGAGTGGGTGGGGACGATGGTGTTGATTCTTGCCACCAGAAGTGCAAGCCCAAGACCTAAAAACCTTTTCCCTACTCCGCCTGGCCCCGAGCCGCTACAGCAGTGCAAGCCCTGATCGCACTCCCGTAACTCTAAGCCACTCCCATGAACCTACTCTCCAGCAAGCCTGAAGTGGTCGCGCGGCGAAATGTACGCCGCATACCAGATAGAAAGGAAACATGAGCAAGGTCCAAAGCTTCCATAAAGCACCTTCCAAGACACCGTCAGAATCTCTCGAACCCCAAACCTGTTCCAATCCTCACCTGAACTATCAGAGAAGCCAAGCCCCGACGACCAAAAACTCAAACCCCATCAGCACCATCAACACCTAAACTTCCGAAAGTCTAAACCGCTTTTGAGCGGCCTCCACTTCGTGGTCGAACGGGATCACCGCCGGCTGCGCCTCAAGGACCCACTCAGGATGCTTGTCTCGTGAGTGCCGATGCGTGAAGTTCTCTCAGAGCAATGTCATCAAGAAAGGAACTACTGGCTTGGCTTTCAAAGGCTGTGTCGATGGAGCCGTGTAGGACAAGGGACAACACAAGCGGTCCGGTCGGCAGCTGGCATTTTGCTCAGGGCTCTTCTAAATCCTGAAATGTTTCAACGTCAACAATACAACGCCCGTGCCCGAGAATCCCTCCAAGGGAAGCGCGGTACATCAGCTAAAACCTTGTCAAGCGAAAATAAGGCGCAACAGAACTTGCAGTTTGCCCTGCTGTGGCGGTGGCCTCATCCAAGACGGTCTTGGGCACCTGAGAGTTCGAGTGGGCTGGGGAGCCACCGACCGACGGGGAGGGCTGGTCATAGCAATGGACCTGCAGCGGCACTCATAAGACACATTTTTAAGACCCATATAGGTAACAGCCGCGCAAGCAAGGAGCCAGTCATAGTCAGTCATTGTCCACATTACATTGGAGCCGTGACCTAATATAAAGCATACGACATAGCTTTCAACGTCATGATCATCGAAAGAAGAAGAGACGCGAACCTCTCGCACTCGGCGCGAGTTTACCTCCATCTTGCTGTGAGGTCAGAGAAAGCTGAAACCCGCTGCACCTCTGGCTATAAGTCTGTACATAGTGTGTTTCGGCTGGGGCTCAATTAAGAGCCCCCGGCATGAAACGTCTCCAAAAACAAGCCATTCGATTCGATCATCGAGACGTCCCAGGGTTTTGGGAGCTTCGGGCCTTGGGTTAGGGGCTCAGGTGCGCGACCTGCTTCTCATGTGCCGGGCGCCTCCCACTGACCCACGCCCTGGACGAAGTCCCGCAGAGCTGCAGCGTTCAGGGTGCTTCCTGGCAGGACGTAAGAATTTCATTGGACCTCGAGCGTCTCTGACAAGGACGCTGCGGCGACTTGATCCTGAAACAGGAATCCTGAAACATTATTGCTACTAATCATCACCATAGTCCTTGCTACAACTGTGATCTGTCTTGCGGTTGTTATCAGAATAAACATCATTGTCATTATCATTGTCCTCCATGAGATCTCAAACTCTGAACCCCTGTAAACCCTAAACACTGAGACTAAGACTCATGAGTCCTTGAGCTTGAACCCCGAAACTCATATCCTACAGCCATCGACCCGAAAATCCCTAAACTCTGATCCCGGCACCCAGGAACCCACAACCTGTAGGCCCTTGATGCCTACACCCGGAAGAATGAAACCTGCAAGCCCTTACAGCCTGAAAACCCTGACCTGAGCCGCGAACCGATAAGCTAGAAACCTCAACATCTAAGTGCTTCCCCTCAGAATCCTGGAACAGGCCCCAGAGCTCCGCCTCTGAGAGCGCTCCACCCAAAACTCGAAATCTCAAGCTGAGCCCGGTAAATCCTAAATGCCCTGAGTCCAAAGCCCACAAGCCCACGAACCAAAAACTAACAGTACACACCATGAAGCCTAACGCCTTTGGCTCTCAACCCTATAAACCTGACTCCAAGCCCCAAGCTGCCCCAAATCTCCAAATCCTAAACATCCCGGCCTGGAGGATGAAGATTCGCCAGACCCGTCGGCTCCGGAAGTGAGGTCAAGGGAGCCCTCGGTACTCGTTTCATGGTCTCAGGGATCGAGGCCCCAAGCAATTATTTGCAAATACTGTTCGGGGGTTTCGGGGCCGGAGTTGTCGTGAAGGAGCTTTTGGCGGGGCATAGCTGGCTTAGGGGGGTGTAGTATTTCTGTTCATGGCTTCAGGGTTTAGAGCTTTGGGGGTCTGCGGTTGACGGATGTGGTCTTGTTTAGGAGATTGGGTTTCAGGGTTTTAGTTCTTCTTCCAGGGATATGTAGTAGTAGCAGCAGCAGCAGGTGTAGCAGTAACAAGTAGTCGTAGTAGTAGTAGTAGTAGTAGTAGCAGCAGCAGCAGCAGCAGGAGTAGTAGTAGTAGTAGTAGTAGTAGTAGTAGTAGCAGTCGAGTGGTGGAGTAGTATCTAGTAGCGGTAGAAGAAGATAAGATGTAGAAGTCAGGATCAGCAGAGCGTCGGTGGTTGTGATAGCAGTGGTGGCGGTACCAGAGACGCCGTAGTTGCAAAAGAACGAGCTGAGAGCGACGATTTGTAGTACCAGCAGTTGGTGATCGCGGTAGCAGTAGTAGTGGTAGCAGCAGCAGCAGGAGCAGCAGCCGTCGCGGCAATGGCAACGCCGGTCACTATCAGATCTTTCATGGGGCCCGACGGCTCCTCCGCGCAGTCCTCCAAGCTGGGCACCAGCCGAACCTCGGAGCAAAAGACACCTTTGATAGAACTTGGCGTTCTAGCCTCAGTCTACTTGGAGCTTTGAGGATATAGGGTCTAGCGGCATCTAGCTGCTAGCTCGGCTCCAGGGGAACACTTTGCGAACACTCAGGCACCAGGCAGGCAGGTTCTCCTGGAAGAGCGAGACCCACTCACGCCAAAGAGTGGGATCGACCTCTTTCGCGGAGGTGGGCCAGCTTGGTTTCCGAGTCAAACATCTTCAGGGCTTGAAGACTTCAGGGCTGTAAGTTTTTTTTCGGATTGGTCGTTCGGGCGCCCGGATTCAGAAGGCCCTTTGGCAACATGTCTGCGAAGGGAAGCATGCAGGGATAACGCCGATGAATCTACTGTGGCTTCGGGCTCCGCATCAGACGTTACCTAGTTTCTGCCATGAGGGTGACATACAAGGCGTGTCCTTTTTTCAAGTCGACATGGCCTTCCACACCACTATACCGACGACGACTCGCCAACGACGCCTGCTGCCAAGTACTGGGGCCTGAACCGAGCACTTAAAAAAAAACACAATCATGACGATTGTGATTGCGATGACGGTGGTAATATACTGCTGGCCAGGAGGATTGCATTGCATGACACCCCCTGCTCAGACGTGTGGAATTTGCCTGCCTCTTCCTTGTCCGTCAGCTGCTCCTTTCAAACATGCACATCCAAGTGTGGGTACCTACCGACCCGGCTTGGACAAACACATGCATCAACACACATAACGCAAGAATGGCAACTTACCAGCAGCTTAGTCACTCGACAGCATTTCTACAAAGTACCGCCGAGCAAACGACTTGTTTGGTCAAGCAGGCGAGGTCCTGCTCCATGTCTGCGAAGGCCATGTGCATGACGAGGTCCAGGATTCCCTCCATCTCCTTTTCAATCTGATTCCCAAGAGCCGCCCATCCCAGGTCCCAGACACAGATTTGGAGAAGCTGGGAACCAAAACCCCAAGTCCCAAAGCCCAGGTGCCACGACGCCTCTCGCAGTTTCTCGCGGCGCTTGGCATGGCGACCACGCCTGGGCTATCGAGTTTTGCTGCAAGTTACGGCCGCCGGAGTTGTCTTCTGGCATCTTTGTCTGCCTGGTCAGCATTATCAGCGCACCAAGTCTGTTGCATCGAGGATGATGATTACGGGACGGTTCTACGGCATGTTACAGGTGTTGGAGCACACGGCATCTCAAGGGGTTCCGAATCCCGCTTAGGCCAAAAAAGTCATCAAGGTGGCCTTCATCAACAGTCTGTAAATGCCGAAATCGTCTAGCAGATTACTGGCGACAAAACTTTAGCGACTTTTCACGCTAGCTCACGCCATCTCGTGCAGCAAGGCCAGCAAAGCTTGCAATCAGTTTTTTCTCCACGCTGGCTCGGAATGTTTCCGTTGAAACCGTCCGTGGCCTCACGATACGAGGCCGTATGTGCAGCAGACGGTGCACGTGCATAAGGCGCAGACTGAACCAGGGCATACAGATTTCGGCCCCCGAAGTCAAAGATGAAGTGGGCGAAAATCACGACTACGAACCTGCTAGTCTGGATTGCTGCCAAATCCTGCATACGGTAGCTTTGGATGTCGAAGCTGGTGCCCTTCATGACCGCGCAGGTGGCAAAGCCCTGAACGATGCCGTTGGAGATGCTCAGGGAGGCGTAGACCAAGGTGTCGGCCAACAATCAGCTCCGAAGGCCCCAGAGAACTTCTGATCGAACAATAGCAAGACGCCCCAGACGCAAAAGAATTTGGAGCCTAACCACGCTTAAAGGCCAGATCTCCGAAATATGTGTAAACAAGTTTATGTTCAAACGGTTTACACGCCAAACGTGCTTAGCCCATCCTTGGCCCTGCGGGTAGCCATCTAGTCCACGAAGCTTGGCGGGAAGCAAAAACTCCATCTCGGGTGAAGCACGGCCATCCCAAAGATCGCGATGCCAGTCAGCCTGCCTTCTGTAAACGAACACCATGAAGAGCTTATCCTCGTGACTCCAGAACTTTTTCGTAGCGACGATACTGGAGCCACCTACCGCCATGAAAGAAGCGCCG